TTTGTTAAATGAGATTGAAATGGTCTGCGTTGATTTTAGGAATGTGCTGAATGATAGGGAGGAATTTCGATTCTGTTGAAATTCATAAGTCTCAGAGGAGGAGTCATTTCAGCAAGCATTTTAAGAGCAGTTAAATGGTCTTGAAACTTTAACATCCTTTTGTAAGACAAGCTTTCTTGCACGCTTAACTCTTTAAATCACATGAAGAATATGGTGACAACATAAGGTCCTTGTCTCGTACATTCTTGGAGAAATTTATTTTAAGTGGGCTTTTGAGGAATAAGTTCTTGAGGTAGAATATTTTACTATTTTTATTAATAAGACCAAATATATTAAAGATATTTTGAGTAATGGAAACTGGAGATCCATAAAACTGCATCTTGAGAATATGGACTAGTTCTGGTCACTATTAAATAGAATCACCAATATATTACAAAATTGAGATTTTTCCATCAATTGGAACTTTCACCTTAAATATTCACCCAATATAAACAAGGTTAAGTATTTTAAAGTTAATCTTGAGCTAATTAAAGAGGCTGAAAAACTAGTTTTGTCCTTTTCTGGGTTTTTTTGGATGTATCAGTAATTGATTTACTGTGTAAATTGGCAAGATTCATTTTCACTTTCTAGCTATTGATGACAATACTAGTTCCTGTCCTTTTATTCAGTATGGAAGGTCAACAAGATGGTTACACAAACAACATTGGAGAATTAAAGTTCTGCTCCCGTAATACAAGATCATCATCCAGTAGAATGTTAGTAGTCTGAGGAGCTATTTCTGTCAATGACATGTTAATTACAGCACCCCCATTTAAGAAAAGTGGGTCTTTGAATGACAAAATGGAAAGGTTATCTGATGACCTACAAAATACATTAATTAATTTGATAAAGCTTTGCATAATTTAATGTCCTAGTGAGTTTCTTAATGAAGGCAATATTTTACATTTAAATGGGGTGTGTACTTTGTAATAATAATAATTTTCATAGTCAAAATGCTCAGTGGTGACATGATATTAAAAAAAAGTGTTAACTCATGGGGCATTGTTGTATCAGTTATTGTATTTTCATAGAAGTGAAATAATGGTAAATAATGGAAGAAAAAGTATTCATTGTGAATATTAGGGTCTTGTACTGCCATGTTGGTGTTGATTATAATACCAAAGTTATAATTAGCTTTTAAGATTTCATATTTACACTGGAGTGTCACATTGGAATTGCAATAGCAATCAGCTACGGTAATGAAGAGCCGTGCGTATTATTTCCATATTCTTGCATTCTTGTAGTCAAATAACAGAACCATTTGTAGATTGCTATATTATTTGGATTGCATGATAGGAAGTTTTGGTATTTTTTTATGGAGGACTGCTGTCCTTTTAGGCTTTGGATGCCATTACAGAAAGAGGATATAAGAAAGGGACGTGAAAGCCCAACTTGCTCACAGAACATCCTGCATTCACAAGAATTCTGTTGCCTCATGGTTTAGTCCTGCTGTTGCTGCTGACTGCATGTTTTTCCAAGTGCAATTTAAGGAGTTGAAGAAGATCATTTGCATAGGAATAAAATATATGGTCAACTATAGTACTGGCCAAATTCAAATAACAATGTAATGTGCTTTTTTTTCCCCCAACGTGTTTGAATCAGGATAAGTATACATGCTTTTTTAAACTACCAGATAACATTGGCTTTATGAGTGAGTGGGTGTGAGTATGTGTGCACAGAATGCTAGATGAAGGTCTCTTTAACGCTGCCCTTTTATACATTGTTTAGCTCTACCTTTCAAATACAAAACAAATTCCAAGATCAAAATAATGAGGGAAATAAATGACACAGTTCTGAAAACAGAATTACTAAATATGTTGTGGATCAATATAAACAAAAACCTTAGAAGTCACAAGTATCCCCTAGGTAGTGACTTGTTGCTCTTACTTTTTATGAGCCTAGACAAGGTCAAGGACTAGGTAGGCTTCAAGACTCTGAGCTGTATGAACTCCAGCATGATATTTTTTAGTGTTCCTGTCTGCAGAGGACTCTGTGGTCATGGCAAATTCTGAGTGTTATTTTCTGGTGATGTTTTTCGCTACAGGTTTTTATTTCCATGGTTGCCAGGTCAAGTATTCCTATATGTCAAGGACCCTGTGAGCCATCTAGTGGGAGGTTTCTTCTTAACACTTGACCATTTGGAAATCTGTTCCTTGCACCTTTTCCCAGTCAAGTGTCCAGCACCAGCTCCTCCTTCTTCCATGGGATTTCCCTCATCCTTTCCACTTACCTGTTGTGATCAGCTTTCTGTGAAGTGACAGGGGGAACGAGGGAGATGCATTTTTTTGAGGTTGAATGACAAAAGCATAACAGACTTTGCTAGACATCTGTTACTCGATACATATCAAAACCTGTAAAAGGTCATTTTAATAAACCAGGAAACAGTGGAGTAAGAAAAGGCAATTAAGTCAGTTTATGAACTTGTTCATGACAGTTACCTAACTGGAATAAAGAATGCTTGTTTATTTAGTATTAGAGTGTTTGTCTGAGAAGATTTGTGTTGAATTGAACGTTGTAAGACAGCTCTAAACCAACTTCAAGTTTCCCCCTTTAAAAAGCAAACCTATGGTAATTCATTAAATACCACTCTAATCATTTTTAGAACACTGTTGATGTCCCTTGGCTTAGTTTGTAGTGGTAAATCCCATGCAGCAAGTTGGATGTATGCTGCCAAATGAATGTTGACCTGTCATAGGAATGGAATGGAGCATCTGGGTTTAGTTAGTAAACTTAGAGAATGAGATTTCAGGGAAGACTGAGCTCGTTCGTATGAGGCTGGGGACTTTTAAGTCCAAGCCTGAGTGGGCTAAGGAAGGAGGAAATTGAACACCCTGCAGAGTTAAACAGTGGTAGCTCTGCTTCCAGGGAAGTGAGCAACAGCAGCAGGACTCAGGGAATAGATGATAGACAGCTATGCACTTAGACTTCTTTGTATGCTCTAGTGAAGTTCATGGAGTCTCTCAGACATTAAATGGCCTGACTTACTTGGATCTGCAGGTGGGAGTCTCTTCCAGGCATGAAATGCCATTTGCTATCTCTTAGAGGCGCTTGTCTGTATCTATCCATGTATCAGGTAAATTACAGGCAGAGAAAAGTGCAATATTGGATTTCTACTGATATTTTATGTAGTACACAGTGATAGTTTACTTTGTGAACTGGCTTTTCAAAGATGGTGTAATATACCACTATTTAGGATTCCCCTAGTTTTTAGGATCTTTTTTTTTAGGATCATCTTGGATGGAACAAGAATAATGCATATGCAATGTGGCAGATGTTTCAAGAATCTGAAAAACCTGCTACACCTTCAGTGAATGGTTATTTTTTTCAGTCACTCTGGTTATGCTGAGTATATCCAACCCTTCTAATATTGAGGATGTACTTAGTATGTGTAGATCAGGATACACAACAACAGATCTGCAAGGGAACTTTCAAAAAGCCAGCTGTCCCTATGTACATGTAGATTCTGGTAATAGTTGGAGTATTTAGATGTTAGAAAACTTTCAATGTCTCTTAGTACTACCAGAACTTTTAATACTCATAGATGTACAGAGATGATGGAGAAATCTGTGACTCAGAATCTTCCTAGAGTATGTTTCTGGACAGGAAAATAAGGATAAGTGTGGGAAAGTGATAATGCTGTCTGATAATGGACAGTGAAGCTTTGGGAGATAGCAAGAGCATGCTTTTATACTTGATGCATTTAATTTTGAAATTGTATTATTATAGATGTTATAGCAGAATTGCAGTTCAGAAGTGTATGTTACAAGATGTCTCTAGTAGAGAATTGCTTCTAATACATTTTATTGTAGTATAGATGTAGTATACTTGCACATATAATGGTAATAGCTCAGAGAGAACTAAGGTAACTACAAAACCAGATGGTCTTGGTTTTCTACAGCAAAGCAGAAATGTAACTGAGTTACCTGCAGCGTAGTATTAAATTTGGCAGTAGTTTGTTGTCTGCTTCATATAATGGTTTAGGTTGTCTTTTTAAGAAATTCATTTAGGGTTGATTGCCAGCTACACTGATAGTTCTGCAGATACTTTA